ATTATATTTGAACTTACTACCTACAGAAACTCGGACCAATTGTGCTAAAGCTTATTTATTAGCAGCTATTCTAATAGCCTAAAAAATCATACCGAAAATGCAGCAAAGAACAAGCTACGGTCTTAAGTTTAAAAAAAAACGTACCTAAATTACGATAAACTTAATTACGATAAGCATCATTGCCTTATGCTTGTTAATGAAGCTTAGCTTGGAGTTCTATCCTAAATACCTGGTTCCAGTTAACGTTCCGAGTTCCGGCCTACATCCCGTGTTCCGGATTTAATGTCGAGTTCCGTCCTGTAGTCCGGACTGTGCCGCATTAGCGATTGCCGAGTCTTAACCTTTGACCGGCAGAACCAGTTTAACTTGAATAATTAACTAGTAGCGTCCATAATCGTATTACAGGTTACAAACAAACTTGCATCGGTTTCCCGCCATTTTACGTACACATTAGAATTTGTAATCAAGAATATTTTAAATATAGTAATTAAGCGAAATCATAAGAAAAACTATTATAATGGCTGGGAATAAAGATTCTTAACGATTATTTATGAAACATTTTTAAACTCGTTGTATTCAATTTTTAACAGTCAAAATAAACACACTTTTTTCTTTATTTCGCAAGACTTACGAGTTTCATCAGGAATTCAACCTCCTGACCATTAATTAAATACGTCCATTGTATTTTAGGGTGTGATCAAATAGGCTAGAAGCGACAGGATCGGGCGGTGACCTTGGACCACCATTACGAGCAATTGCAATTCTGGCTTCCGTGTCATCTCCGTGCGTGTACTATTCATGTACAATCCACAACAATCGCGGTGGGAGCCGAATACTATACTAGGTTACTTGTACCCATAAACATTACTTTCATCTATTAAAACATTTTATTGATTTACTCTCATAGGGAAGTAATCGAAATACTGAAAGTAGGCGTTTTTCTTCAAAGAATATGTTTTTACCTATTTAAAAAACACTGAATTTTATAAGTTTTATCCCTGTTCCGAGAATTGAAAAAACCTGCAATTTAAATTTGAAATGACGAGTGAAGCATGTAATAGCACACATTATATAGTTCGTACCGTCGACAGCGCTGACTGTACTTTTGATTTGTTCTTAACGATAACGCTAAATCATAATGAATCAACAGAACCGGTCTATATATATAGAGAGGTCAATTCTTTACGATTTTAGTTGTGTTACGACTGTGCAGGGAGCTGTCAGTTATGGTACAGGTTACAGTGAATGAGGGGACATTAGAGGGAGAGGTGATTCACAATGAGTACGGCGGGAAGTTCTACAGCTTCAAGGGCATTCCCTACGCCCAGCCCCCCGTGGGAGAGCTGAGGTTCAGGGTAAGTCTATTAGTATTCTGGCTAGTACAATATCCAATCATAATGAATAGTATTATAGCAACTACTACATTATATTTATTTATAGACTAAGTAAACACGAATCACCACTTATCATAAGATTACAAAACTGTTAGTGTCCAAAGTCCACAGGAAGTTTGTAAGATAAACAATCAAATAGGACTGACTGCCTGGTATCATAAAATTTTGAGATTTATTATCATTATCAACAAAAATTAAGTAGTTATTTTCAGGATTTAAAAAACAAAAAACTAATATAACTAAATAATTAGAATTATTACTAGTTTTTATAGCGTCATCAACTACTAGACAATGGCGGTTCAAATGTAATATTTTTCTAATTTAATTTCCTCTACTCATTGAATAATTCACATAACTCATTGAACGATAACTTTAAAATAATATAATTCTGTAATAAAACCACTTAAATTTTATCTGGATAGTTCTGATTTTGTTAATTTATTTATGTAGATTGAATATAATAATGTTGTGTTATTTAAATGTTAAATGCCTAAAACTTTTATGTAGTGTAAAATCAATAGATATTGTGTATAAATAAAATAAATAAAAATATGTAATGAAATAAGTACACTACAGTTTGTTGTAATAGAGTTTCTATTCTATTATATTGTAGAATGGTTTATACGTATTATTTTATTCTGGCAGGCTCCTCAACCACCGCAGCCATGGGCCGGAGTGCGAGACGCGACAAAGCTGGGCAACGAGTGTTATCATTACGATCCATTCTTCGGCACACCGACGCAGGGCAGCGAGGACTGTCTCTACCTTAACGTGTATTCCCCCGAGGTATCCCCTCCTAACTCCCTGCCCGTAATGGTGTGGATACACGGCGGAGGCTTTATTGGCGGGAGCGGCTCCGATGACTTGTATGGGCCGGAATTCTTAGTGAGACATGACGTCATCTTGGTCACATTTAACTATCGGCTCGAGGTTCTCGGCTTCCTCTGCCTCGACACGGCGGAGGTGCCCGGCAATGCGGGCATGAAGGACCAGGTGGCGGCGCTCAGATGGGTGCAGGCAAACATCGCTAGCTTTGGAGGAGATCCTAACAATGTTACCATCTTCGGAGAGAGCGCTGGAGGAGCGAGCGTTTCTTTTCACCTTTTGTCGCCCATGAGCAAAGGGTTATTCAAGAGAGCTATATCACAGAGTGGCAACTCAGCCTGTCCCTGGGCGGCAACCTCTATGATAAAAGAAAGATCACTGCAACTGGCTAGAGACATGGGGTGGAATTCCAAGGATGAGAGGGAGGCGTACGAATTTTTAAAATCACAGCCTGTGGAAGCGCTAGTCGACAGACGCGTTAAACTGACGTATGCGGAAGACAATAAAGAGGCAGCACTTATATTCTTCAATATTGTTGAAGAAAAACAATTCGGTGACAATGAACGATTCATGCCCGGCGCCCCCATTGATCTACTACGGGCCGGCATACACGAGGGAGTGGAAGTTATCAACGGCTACACAGAGGATGAGGGAGTTTTGATGTTATCCGTCGGACTCGACATTCAAAAAGTACTCGCACAAGCTAACAGATATCCTGAGTATTTCACACCTTTACCAGCAATCAACGGTTGTAAAATAGCCGATCAAATAGAAATAGGAAAAATGATAAAAGAGTATTATTTTAAGGATGAAGAGATTTCCCTCAGTAACGTAGATCGTTTGTATGCGTTCCTCGGCGCCGATAGCTTTATATATCCTGCAATTTTATGGCAAAAGCTTTGTGCAAAAAAGGGTAGCAATAAGAATTATCTGTACAAATTTACTTGCAAATCTGAAAAAAATATCTTGAAACACTTACTGGGTGTGGCACACGTGGTGGGCGATAAGACTGTGGTCTGCCACGCGGACGACCTGCCTTACCTCTTCCCGATGAAAATATTCACACAAAATAGTCTAAAACTGGATACCAACTCTAAAATATACAAGATGATTGATCAAACAACAAAGCTTTGGACGAATTTTGCTAAATATGGGTAAGAAATCTTTTAACATTAACTGTACAATATTCACTGTCGTTTAACCCTGACCTCTATCATCTTATTTACAAAGGTTTTTTAAAATTCGTGACTTAGTTACATCTTAGTTTTCGCAAGCATCCTTAGCAACTGTCATGGTTAAACAATATTGCTCACTTTATACTTGTTTGAAAATCAAATAGTTAAATTTTATATTAAGTTTAAGTTTATACTTTTACACAGTATCAAACGAACATAACACCTGGTAAGATATGTGGTAGAAAGACCTCTTAAAGGCCGTAGAACAAGGTTTGGTTGATTTGGTTGATGGGTCAAATACATTACAATGTCTGCTACTTATTGTATTCACTGAACTATAAAATTTCATTTCACTTCTGTCCTTTTTAGCAACCCAACCCCCGATGCGAGTTTGGGCGCGATCTGGAAGCCATACACGTTGGAGAGTCAAGACTTCTTCGACATTGGAGAGAATCTGGTGTCCGGCACCGCGCCTAATAACGATGAGATAGAATTCTGGGAACACGTCTATGAGAAGTATTGTTCAAAATACGCTCCGTGATCAAAAACAAATTGCTCATATACGTAAACATTTATCTAACGATCTACGATTATGTAATAAACCATAAAGAAAAAACGTTAACCTCTTAATAATGTTATATTTAATAATATTACCTTGTTATGCTTATTTTATAGTATTAAGTAATAAGAAAATTCAATGAAAATGTTTCGCTTTATAACTTGTACTTCATTGAGATTTTGTAATAAAAAGTTAAAAAGCTAAATATCTACATTTATTAAAACCATGCGTGTATGTATGGACAACTTCATGAGACTTTCACAGCATGTGGAAAAGTAACTAGTCGATATTCCTGAAGCGGAATAATAACGAGTTTGTTAGAAGTTGTACAAACTTGGCTGCGAACGCGGCGGTTTTGTACAACTTCATCGGAAGCGGAGAGCGGAGAGCGGAGAGCGCCCTCTGCCGACTGAAAACGTTCAGTAGTTTAAAGTTACTTGTAGTAATAGTAATGTGTGATATAAATGAAATTGCTATCAAATGTGTTACTTAAAGGCGTAGGCTTTGATGATCTGAGCTGGTGCTTTTAATAATACACGCAGCGTAATTTCTAGAGCCCATGCTATTCACAGCGTTTTCATTATCACATTTAATAAAGCGATTTAATAATTTTGTAAGCTTAGAAATTTGCCTTTTTACATGTATGAAATCTGCATGTAAAAATGTTGTTCAATAGTGTCAACTAAGTGACACTCATACCTGCGAGCTGCAAGTGCCCACGTGGGGGTGCGGAGGGGGGAGGCTGTCACTGTCGACGTTAAAATGCGCTGTTTTAAATGCTCCTAAACTTTACAAGAAGCCCCTTTGAACATTGCTCCTTCATATTATATTTTCAACACCTTAATATATTTTCGAAGCGAAATTTATAATAACTTTTAAATATGGTTGGCAGTAATAAGACAGTGCGTATGGTTTACAATATGTTTACGCTTTTGCATGTGATGTAACATTTTAAAAACAGTCGAAATTAATTTTATCTTTTGGTAGATCGAAGGTTTAATCCAATATAGCTGTCCGAAGGTCGTAATTTCCCGCCTCATACAAAATTAACCTTCGAAAATTGCCTGTAAATTGCCACTTACATAAATTGAATTTAACAAAGTCCCTCATCTATACAACATAAATATCTTAGTATAATTGTCTCTCACTGTAACTGGACTATCAATAATATTATGTGTAATTATTTAACCTTGGCTTGCCTTCAGTACAAATTAAACAGTATCGTATAAAAGGCAAATTACTCTTATGCAGCCTTAACCTTTGACCTGACAGACTTTAAACTATGCCACGTATGCAATTGCTTTACTAAATATTTTGTTGGACATAAACAATGGTCTTAATACACTTATACACTGCCGGTGAAATGTTACTGCGCACAAAGTTATCTTAAAAAGTAGAACATTGTAATAATTTTTACAATAATACAATTATTAATTAACTAGTAGTATACTATAATGTGCGGGTTGGTTGACTTCACATATATCTTTTTCTTCGCCGATATGTGCAGGTTGCATCACGATGTTTTCCTTCATCGTAAGAACGTCGGGTAACTTATGTACATATGAAAATTCGAACATCACTTCGGTACATGGCGGCGCACTGGGCCAGCGTAATTGACTATGGCCTAGTCACCCTAACTTAGGGTAGGCTCCGAGCCCCTCGGTGGTGACGTATAGTGAGCTGGTGATGATGATGATACTATAATGCATTCAAACCATAACTTTATAATCAATTACAGACACTGGTTTCTGTTATCTAACAATAAGTTCCTAAAACATAGTTTTGTAGCATTTTTATGTGTGCTTTACATCATTTCTTAATCTTCGAGGTTTAAAGGATAATCTCGTTTTATTAAAAAAAAAAAAACTTTAACAAATCTTTCTTGACGAGAAAAAATTAGCATACGTTTCAAGTTTCCCGTCTGTGTGTGACAGGCACACCATAATCCCGCTACTCGCAGGCCTTTTACAAAATAATTACTTTGTTCTTTCGTTTTAAGACGTTTTCTCTGAAATTTTAATTTATCAAAGTAACGAAATCAAACTTTTCTTTTTATAATTATTGAAAAAACTTCGCCCTACAAACACTTTTTTTATTGTTCTGTGTAAATTAGTGTCAAATGTGTACGTACCTTTGGGCTAGAGAACCCCAATTCGCAATTTGTTTCCCCCAATAAAATAACGTCTTAAAATTGCTTACTAATGGGTTCTTTCGTTGTAATCAATTTTTGTTTTTGTGATTGTCAATTATGGAGAAAATTATTTTTTTACCGAAATGTTGTTAGTTTTTCTTCCAAGTGCAAGCAATGTATGTAATGCATCATGTACGAGTATGTATCATAATTGCAGACACACATTCTACGGACATAATCTCGTTTACTCCACTAATTTTTAATCGACATCAAAAATATTAGGTTCTCAATTCGTTTGTACGTTTTTTTTTGTGTCACTTGTAGTACATGTTAATATCTGATCATCGTTATATTACACTTCACATCGGAAAACAGCGAGACGAGATCTCGATGAACTTATTAAACCATACACATTGTTATTGAAAAAACTAAATTCGTAATAGTATTATAAGTTAGTTATTACTATGTAGATGTGAATTAATATTTGCAAAGAAAAGATTGTGTTGAAAATGAATCAAAGACCTCACTAGTTCTTACAATATATTTAAAAATACGTTAAAATCAAATACAAAACTAAACAAATATCTAAGAAGTAATAAAAACAATTCAAACTGTTAAAGGCAATATAAAATGCAGAATTATTATTAAAATAAATAGTAAATAATAACAAAATATAATATGGTTACATTATTTTTGTTCTGTTTCATCTGCATCGCCAGTCAGCTCTAGAATTTCTTCATTTGTCTTTTGTTTATCTTCTTGATCGTTCTCAGGGACATCTTTACTTTCCTCGACAACTTTACCTTCATCTTCACCCTTATCTCCCTCACCCGATTCTCTGGCTTCAGCTATGGTTATCTTAGAAAGTAATGACTTTTGTCGATCTTCAGAGAATTTCTGTTTAGAACTTAGTGCCATCTGTGAGTACGCCAAGTCTTTCATAATAGATTTTTGAATTTCTAATTTACTCTTCATCAATTGTTTTTCGATATCATCAGTCTCCTCGTTCAGTTCGCTGTGCACAGATTCCACAGTCTTAGTTGAGCGAGACGACGATATTAAGGACGGGCTGCTTCCTTTCATAACTACATGCTCATCTGACACCGCAGGTAACACTTTCAAACTGGGTATAGTTTTAATGCTACCTAAAGAGGACCTTGACACAGCGATTGAGGGCAAACTCTCCTTCGCACTTTCGATCGTGTCTTTTGATGATGGCAGTATTAAAGTAGATCCCATTGATTTTTTAGAACTGGGCTTGGGAATGAAACCTAAATCCCCTTCTTCATATATTCTTCCAACGGAAGCCAAAGTGTCCTCCGATTCAGCTTTTTCTATTTCCTTATACTGGGTTATTATTCCGAGCAAACGGGAAAGTAACATTTCGCGATCCATTACGTTTCGAGTGTTATCTATCGAGGACCACTGGTCTAGTTTCAACGCCGCCTGCACAGCTGTGGCCGCTTCCTGTAAGATTTTCTTCAACTTTGCATTTTCTTTGTTTACTTTAGAAAACTCGACGGTGTGTTGATTCTGATCGGTAGTTTTCGCATGATAGTTTTGTTCCAAAATTCGTACTTGCAAACACAAATTTTCGTTTTCTCTTGTTAATTTCTGAATTTTAGCTTGTAGCACCTCAGTGTCATAGTTTCTCTTCTCTGAAAGGGCCTTTTCTTTTTTTAGGCTTTGAAAAGCTGTTGTTAATTGATTGATTACCTTTTGCTGCACGATGCTTTTGTTGATTGCCTTATCTCTTTCTTCCTCGGCTAATTCCATGGAAATGCGCGCAGTTCGTTCGCTTTCCCTGTATTTTTCATTTTGTTCAGCCAGCTTAGACTGAGTAGACAGAATGCTATCGAGCTCATTGTTTATCGCTATATTTTCTCTGATAACTCGATGTGTTGAAGCAGCGATTCTTAATTCGGTTGCGTCTTGAAAGTCTTGAGCTAGCCGCAAAAGACTGGCCTCCATCTCTTTTTTTAGTTTGTCTTTGCCAATGACAAATTTCTTTTCGGTTTCATAAATAACTCTCTTGTACTTCATTTCTTGATCTGTAAAGTCTTGCTCCTGTTTTTCAAATTTTCTCATGAGATCATCTCTGATAGCTCGAAATTCTTCCAAAGTATTCAACTTTCCTGTCATCAATTTGTTCTCCGATGTTAACTGGTCCTTCATTTGTATAAAGTTTTTATCTAGTTCTGCCACAGTTTCTTTGAACTTAGCAGTTTCTATTGCCCTCGTATCCTCGATATCTTTGAGTGTTTCTTTCAATTCATTGTTTTCCTCATTTTTGGCTTGAAGATTCTTTTTAAGAAAAGCGATGATGTCGGCTCGCTCCTCGTCCATCTTATTGTAAGCTTTCTGCAGGTCTTCATTTTGCTCTTCATAGTCGGCAACAGCAGCCCTAAGCCTCGCAAGCTTTCGATTACAATCGGCTAGTTCTTGTTCCAAAAACGTTCTCTCCACCTCCGTAAACGCCCCAGCCAAGTGATCGTCTTTCTTACCTTTATCTTTTTTAGGCGGCATGATTGATAAATGCAGTTATGAAAAAATAAAGCAGTAATAAAATTATGTGTTTTAGGTATTGTATTAAAAAACGGTTGCCTAGCAACTTGTGCTTGAGTTTTAGTAAAAACTCTATCGCTGCTATATTTTTGTTACCGGCCTTCGACAAAATGAAATGAAAACTAAAGAGTTGCTACTTCGTGTTAAAATATAATCTTACTTATTATCTTCTCTAGTAATATTATAATTTCGAGTGGTTAGATTGATCAGTGGATTTAAGAATGCATCTCCAGAACGGCTCAACAGATTTCGATGAAATTTGGGACAGATCTAGATAGATATATTTATTTAGATAGATAGTCTGCATGAAAACATAGACTATGTAAGTGCTTAGTAAGTTTTAAAAAGCTAGTATTTAATAAAACAAAGCCACAACCCCCTAAGGTATTCTCAAAATGGTTTACATTATGAAAGCATGCTTTAACATTGTATAAGTAATATCCCTTGGATGAGAGCGTCTCCGTCTCCGGGGGCTCACCCTGCCGTTGGGGATGGCGGGGGGAGTGGAGTGTACCCGGCGCCGCTACGTCATGCACCCCTAAATAATCCGTATAGGGTAATTTAAACATCGCCGCCGACGGCAAAGTGATGTGCTAACGAAAACCTTCAAAATTAAGTAAACCTCCAACTCTCAATGATTTTATATTTTTTTAGTTTCTATTTAGTTGCATTTTTTTAAAGTTCGTTGTGACATACAGGTTGGTGAGTTCTCTAGACACTTTTGTTAGTCGTTTGTGAGTTATCTGGGCAACACTGGAGTGTAAATAAAACAGCAATCTCAATTATAAAACCAAACGTTTATTGGCGATATATCTATGGAACGAACATCGGATAACAACCGCTCCGACATCTCATCACCTTCATACGTAATAATAACTAATAAATAATAACTCTTTTTATCTTCTGTTTAAATAATAAAAACATTAAAAAATATATCTAAACTAAAGACAACAAAAATGACTAGAAACAAATTATATCCAAACAAAATTCCCATATAGATAAGATAATGTAAATATTTGAGAAGGGTTTGTTGGACAAAGTGACCGTAATCATGTTCCAACATAATGTTACATTATTTCCAGAGATACCGTGTCAATATAATTAAAACAAAATGGCAGTTTTAGAGCGGTGCGTTTCATAAATTAAACAATTTCTGAAGCCTTTGAACAATAAGTAAATAGAATATAAACATTAATCAAATAAATTAGTTTAAATATTCTACTTAGACGCTAAGTCTAGACGTGGAAATGTTTCTGCTTCAACTATTTCACATGACGTCTGACTTAACTCAAGCATATCATGTTTATGTAATCAACTAAAACATTTATCTGGCTGTTCATTTACATATGTAAATATAAAATTATATAAATTATCTATAATTTAAGTACAATGAGTATCACAATCGTATTCCCAACTTGCCTCATTTCCAATCACTTAACATTATCACTTAATCATTCAAACGATCTCGTTTATAATTTACTATAATCACTGCATTGCAAATATTTGTCTTCTATAATAGAATTTCTACGCAAAAAAAGCTAGAACGTGTTAAATGTTAAACTTGGTTAGTGATAATAAAAATGGCAAGCAGACTTAGGATCATACTCCTTTCTGTGTCCTCGCGGCACAGAAACTAATACCTAATACTTGGTTTACATTGTGCCAATAATGTTGGTCAGCAGCGCTTAATTGTTACGCTTAATGTTGAATACTGGAATAATATAAATAGTAACTGACGCCAGTGAGCTCAAACAGTCCATGCCAGGTCAGTAGAGTAGAGTACTACTGTCCAACTTTACTGGAAAAACGTAGCATAGTATAGCATAGTAGTTACATGGACAATGTTTTTTTTACATTTGCAAACAAAAAAACATTTAAAGACAATTTTCCCTTAAACAATCTACATTACAATTGCCATCAAATTTAATTAACTTAAAATAATTCGCAGACTTATAATTATTGCACTGCCCGAACATGTCAGTCTTCTAAGTACAAAAACAAATATGTATGGAAATGTACAGTGCGAGTGAGACAACTATATTATAATATTTGGAGATGACTAGACTACGACACAGAAAAATATGTATTTTGTTATGTGCCTCTATGAATAATGGAAATCTTTGATAAGTCTATTTGCGATATGAAATACAATTATCACGAGTTGATATTGGTCCTTATACTCGACTACGTATGTTCTAACTATCAGCGGCTTCTGCGAGGGAGCGACCTCAGCGGCAATAACGGCTCGTGTTCAATTGAATCAATAACATTAGAGTAAATGTTTGCTTTACAATTAAATATCTACAAATATATTGATAATTCTTACCACCTCAACCTTGGATTGTTTATAACAGTAGTGAAGGAAGGTTTTGAATAAGTACGGACGATGACGGAGTGCAGAGCGGGCGCAGCTCTACGCCGCGAGCTCGTACCTGTCCGCGAGGCGGTTGCTGTCGGGCGAGTCGTCCGCAAACTTTATATCGCTAGAAGAATCCGACGTCTCGTCCGCAAACTTCAAGTCGATGACGTCCGACCTTTTTAACGTGTCGTCCTTCTCTCGTGTCGTGTCGTAGACGCGCTTAAGCGTGGACGAGTTGTCGTAGTCGTGTCGCGTCTCTCTCCGGTGCACTCTGACGGGCGACATGTTGAGGGTCAAATCCTTCATCGGTATGGAGACGGGGCTCTCCTCCTTCCTCCTCTTGCTCCTGTTGTTGAGTTGGGGCGAGTGCTGCAGGTCGCTGACGCTAAAGTTGAGGGGGTGTATGAGGCCGCCTCTGTCCATCACTTTCTTGAAGGACTTGATGGAGTCGTCGGAGCGGTTGCGGCGCGTGTCGGCGCGCAGCGAGCCTCCGCACTCCTCCGGGGACTCTCTGTTGCTGCCCGGGTCCGGACGTAACTCCACGGGGATAACCTCCTGTTGAGAAAAAAAAACTAAATTAGTTAACTATAATTTTACCAAAAAATATATGATAAGGATCCCCTAGCCACAATCATAAGAACATCCTGGCTTCATGAATAATAGTAGAATGAATATTACCTCATATTTGATAGGCTTATTCTCGTCAATCTCTTTGATGATATCGCCGTCCTCTATCGGCGGGATCCACACTAAAAAAGCGGGATCCATTCCTAAGTAGGAGCCTGGCACAGAACCTGCAACGATTAGTAACCATCCGTTCATTTGTAATACACATCGCTTAGCGAGTAGTAGTATCATACAAAATAATTCAGATGAGGGAAGTGTGAGTACCTGCGTTGTTGACCTCGTAGTCGTAGTAGTCTATCTCCATCTCGGGGTGCGAGGTGAGGCTGAGGTCGGACTTGAGCAGCTTGCGGTTGCACGACTCTTTGGTGTGCTTGGGGTTGTCCCGGATCCTGGCGGCAGACACGCCGCTCAGTGCCGGCGAGTACCAGCCCTGGCACAAACATCAATGTCAACTATGCTGTTTAACATATCACTATGAAAATTGTAATAGTTATTCCTACGTTAGTGAGTGTGGCGGCGGAGGTGGAGGACGAGGCCCTGCTCGCGCTCCTGTCCCTCTCCCATGCGCTGTTTCTGTCCTTGTCCGCGGTGCTCTCCTCCCGCCCGCTG